TGGCGGCAAGGCGGGGCCGGGCCTGCTCTGGATGGCAGCACGCTGGCGGCTCGTGCTGTCCCACCCTGCCTACAGTGTGCAAATTAGATGCCATCTTTGTTGGTGGTTAATTTGCATATTGTGCTGATTAGCCCATGGGAGGTGTAGCAAAGGTACAGTCAATTACCATGTTTGTCTATTATTAGATAGGATAGAGTATCATTCACAGGGATGTTGCATAATGAAAATATAAAACTTTAAAACACATATTTAATTATCTAAATTAGTATCTTTTAAAATACATTAAAATTTTTAAAAAAACAAGATTTTTCAGAGATATTTCTTCATTATTCAGAGAAATTCAACTCTGCTGTGGTTAATTTGAATTAACATAACCAACTCTCATCATTATACAACTCAGAAAAAAAAGACACCCTGATTTTTTTAAATTTATTTTTATAATCAATAATAATAATAATTTTATGTGGCATTAGTTTGAGATCTATTAATTTTACATACTTCTTAATAATAAGCCAAGATTATTAATCATTACCAGTCTTTATTTCAGATACATCTGACATTCTTGGTTGATGGGAGCAGTGGAGACAATGATAGCAAAGACAATATTCAATGCAAATATTTGCCAGGAAAGCGGTTGAAGGATATACTTTTTGCACAACTTAATCTGCTTAATACTGTAATTCACGAAGAATGCTAAGAGTAAACAAGCCTGTCTACTTAAGATCATATTTCACATCATACCACACTTAACCACCCAGGGGTTATTTATGCTCAGGTACCTAATGGCAAACGATTGCTTTTAAAGGTCCAGCTGTAAACTTCAGGTAAGAAATTTAAATCAGTGTATAAGCTAGATAAAAGCACTGTGTAATAAACATTTGGATGTATTTTATATTTTCTTCTAATAGCAATATCAACCATTACAAGATTGTGAGTTAACTTTTGGGTTGTTTTATTACTTCCCTTTGAAAAGTTTTTAGTTCTATTTTGAAATAATTTGGGGGATTTTTCCTCCCAGGAGTTACACTTCATAATGACTGTATACTAGTAGATATTGAGGGAAGTGTATTATAGAGGCATAAATTGAGAGTTTTTCTAAGTGTGAGTTCATTGGACCCTTTAAAAGTTGATCTATTTCCTATATTTCCTACCAGTGGAAAGGTCATTTGTTCCTTCATTAGGCACACATAACATAGGAAATAAGACTTATACTAATGTACGGTGAAGGCAAAAATGATTCTTACAAGTCACAATGGTCTTCAAAACAGCACAAGTACAGAAAGCAAGATGTCATCCTTTCTGGGTATTTTCTTTTTTAATATTGTGTAATGGATTATTTATATTTACATATTTCAACTTTATATATTTTAAATGTATATGTTGTATATATAAATGGGTTTTATGCAAAATCAAATTTATTTATTAAAAATAGGAAATTTAAAGCTTCTCAAGAAAATACTGTTGTAGCATCAATAACCTGTTGTGCCTTTTTGTACAAATAATTACAGCACATCTTTTACTATCACCTATGATAAAAAACATTTGTATAGACTAGCTTCGTTTCAAATATATTCATTTTTCTTTGAACACACCAGATTTCACAAATATATGTATCATAGTTTTAGGCAGCGCTAAGGATGTCCGACTCAGGGCTTAGGCCCACTCCCCAGGGGAGTCAGACATCCCCCGAGGGCTCCTGGACTGCGAGAGGGCACAGGCCGGGCTGAGGGACACCTCTCCCCCGCCTAGTGCACTAATTTCATGCTCCGGGCAGCTAGTCATACTATAAAATGCCTAAGCAGTAACTGAGAAAAGCAAAGTGGCTTTTTCTCCAAAGTTGTTTTTCTCAAAGTCACAATTACTGAGATTTTTTTAATTAAAATGTTTGTTTGTGTAACACACTGTACAAAGTTTCCTTTGTACACACTGCTTATCACTCATGTCCAGATACTTCTGTTAAAAAACAAACTTCAACTATGTACATTTTACAGGTCTTACTGGCTTTATTCAACAATTCATGATTCGGGCAGCATCCCATCTAGCAGATAGAAAGGAACTCAGATGAGTATCAAATACCATACCTCTAACGAAGATTTGCCTTGTAGTTGATAACGTGACATGATACACTCTAATGGGGCACTCTGTCCTGGTGGTGAATGCTGATAACTTGAAAAATAAAGGCCAAAGTGAGGCAACAAGCGTTTATTTGAGGTCAAAACAAACTGAAATCCATGGGGATAAATTCAGGAAGGAACCCAAATTGTACCCCAGTTATGGGGGTGAAGGAAAGGGGTTTTTATGAGAAAGGGAAGGGAAATAATACATAGATAGAATAAAGGAATTTCTATTGATGCTAACAAGCTAAATTACTTTTTAATTATACATGGCTTGTTGCTGATTAAAAATGTCAAAATCATCAGTGCTTGTGGTGAGGAGGTCTGCTTTCCTATTAACTTTACAAACAATTCTTTTTAAGACAATGTTGGTTTGGCTCAAGTCCAAAGGTTATTTTGCTCAGTTCAATCATTTGAAATGTACAAGGAGCAAGATGTGCAAGGGATGCGGGCTCTGTTTTTGAAATGGCTACATTTGTATCAATTTTCTCAACACAATAGGCTTTGGAGCCAAAGAGCCTTAAGGCAGCTACCATCAGTTCCTTTCTTATTTTGTTCTATGAACTTACCAAGTTACTCAGCTTTTCTGACCAATATTTTCTTCTTTGATGTGAAAATAATTATCGTTTGTAACTTATTGGATCTTTTTTTAAGTGCAAAGTAAATGACATTAACATATGTACAACACATTACACAATGTCTGATAGGTAGTGAGCAGTTAACAAATGTTAGCAACTATGAAAGGCTGAGTCTAAATGTAAAGTTGTTGTTATTCACACAGGCTAGCTGGCTTTTTGAGCAGCACTTCCCACAGAAACATGCTTGACTTAGCAAGTCTCTTCTAAAAGCTCTTATTTACCAGTAACATTACCCATCATCTCAGGCATATGTACTCATACACAGTTTATTTACTTATATGCCATTTTTCTCAGTGATTTATTAAGATAAAGTAGTAATAAATATTATACTTATTGTGTTTGTACTTAACATTTTAAGTCTTCTCCTTGTAATAATCTTATCTATTAATAACTGATAACTACAATAATAGGATCTGGAGAGTATTATTCTAAGTAAAATAAGCCAGTCAGAGAAAAAGGGCAATCACATGATGTCACTTATATGAGGAATAAATGAACAAAATAAATTGAGGAATAAAATAGATCCAGAGACATGGAAGCATGGAATAGACAAATGTCAGAGGGAAGGGCCGCAGGGCTCAGGGGGAGAGAGGTGGGGAGAGGGGGAGAAATTAACCAAAGAACTTATATGCATTTATGCATAACCCATAGACACAGGTACCAGTGTAGTAGGCCTGAGGGGAAGGGGCAGGAGTAGAGGGGAGAGGGTCAATTGGAGGGGGGGGGAGGGACATATGTAATACTTTCAACAATGAAGATATATTTAAAAAATAATAATTTTTGCTAATGCTATTATATAAAATGTATTAAATATTGAAAAACCTATAGAATTAGCATCTCTACATTCTAAGCTAATTATAGAGTTTGCATCTCTACATTTCATGTCACATCTGAAGTATCAGTTCCCAGGTCTGAGTGTGGAGTTCAGATATATAGTGGCTTCAAGAAATCGAATAGTAAGACTTTAACAATTATGAGATGCAAAGAAAGGGTTCAACGATTAAGTTAAAGAAAAAAGAATCATAACTAAAGCTAAAGCAACAAGTTGACAAGTACAACACACGTTGCCCCTAAACCTGTAATTATCATAAACTATGAAGCTACCACGACAAGTAACATTCATTAGAGAGAACGCTCTTAAGGCTATCACTGGTTTGAATCAAGCTGAAAAATAATTTGTCTTTCCTTTTTGTTTTAAACGCAGAGAAATTTGTCTGTGTCACATCTCATCAAATTTTCTATGTCAAGCCACATCATGTTAGAAAAATCCATTCTGCTGTTGTCTCTTCAGATAAGTCTCCTAGGAGTCACTCTTGGTGGGAATGTTCTGATTTGGCCAATGGAAGGTAGTCATTGGCTAAATGTTAAGATAATTATAGATGAGCTGATTAACAAACAGCATAATGTGACTGTCCTAGTTGCTTCTGGTGCACTCTACATCAAGCCCACCTCTAACCCATCTCTGACATATGAAATATATAAGGTGCCCTTTGAGAAAGAAAAAGTGGAAGAAACGATCAAGAAGTTTATTTTGACATGGATGGGAAATAAACCAACTCCTTCAACCATTTGGAGATTCTATCAGGAGATTGGCATAGCCGTCGAGGACTTCCACATGCTGAGTAGAGAAATCTGTGATGGTGTTCTCAAAAACCAAAAGCTGCTGGAAAAGCTGAAGAAAAGCAAATTTGACGTCCTGGTATCAGATCCAGTATTTCCTTGTGGTGATATAGTAGCTTTAAAACTTGGAATTCCATTTATGTACTCCTTAAGGTTTTCTCCAGCATCAACAGTGGAAAAACACTGTGGGAAGATACCATACCCTCCTTCCTATGTTCCTGCTGTTTTATCAGAACTCACCGACCAGATGTCTTTTACTGACAGAATAAGAAATTTCATCTCCTACCATCTACAGGACTACATGTTTGATACTCTTTGGAAATCGTGGGATTCCTACTATAGTGAAGCTTTGGGTAAGTAACTTTGTTTGTATTATTTAAATTAAAACAAACAGAGCTCTTTTTTATTTCCTATGATAATTTTTAGTCATACATATTGATAACTATCTCTTATTACCATTTGATAACAGGAAAGGACATAAAATGCAATATGCTTTGCAACTATACTTTGTTGTTTTCTAATTTTATGGACTTGAAGATACCAACTACATATTTTTATGCATAGCATACAGAGACAAATGCAATTTTTAAATTAGGACTTGATTCCCATTTACATATTGCATTGAAAATAGAATTCACCTAGAAACTTCAGTGGTGTGTGGGGGAAGGGGGGCCGGGGGGAGCTGAAAGAGATTAAGCTTTCTACAAGCCCATTATTAAACAGACCTTTGAGTCTATGTGTGTGTTTAAAACACACAAGTATATGAATAATCTGATCATTGTTCATAGCCTTCCTACTGTTTAGCAGGCACTCTCTTGGATAGGGAGGTACAACAAAGACTAAGATGAAGTTCCTGGCTTCAAGGATTTCACAGTCAAACAGAGAAATTAGACATGAAAGGGAATATTTACAATATGAATTGCATGGATAATGAAAATATATATAAAGAACAGAAACGATATAAAGGAGATAGGCAGTATATGACAGGACAGAGTGGTTGGTACTCTGAAAAACTTCAGAGTTGAGATGATACACAAAGAAATTTTTAAACAGTAAATATGAATTTTCCTGAAAATGAAGTGTGTGGGGAAAGAAACAGTGTGCCCAATATTGTGGAATCTAGAAATAGCACGTGTGTGGTGGGTATTATTGACGAGTCAGTATTTAGGAAGGTCAAAGTATAAGGTGCAGAGGTATGGGGGGAAAAAACACTTTGAAGATGTCAAGAATGAATGAATTACATAAATATTTTTCTTTTTTAAAATTCATTATTGTTGAAAGTATTACATATGTTCCCCTTTTCCCCCATTGACCTCTCCCAACCTGTCCCCACCCCTCAACCCAGGCCTTTACCCGCTTATTGTCTGTGTCCATTGGTTATTCTTATATGCATACAAGTTAATTGTTTGATCTCTTCCCATCCGTCCACCCTCTCCTGCCTTTCTTCTGAGGTTTGACAGTCTGCTCAAAAATTCTATGTCTCTGGATCTAGTATGACATACAAGATACTTTTCAAGGCTTCTTGTATGTCATGCTAAGCATCTTGATTTGTATCTAACAAGTACTGGGAACAACCTGAAGAGATGTTTTTTGACTAGATTGCATCCTATATAATAAAAGCCTAATGTGCTAAGTGTCCAGTCGTCTGTTCAACCAATCAAAGAGTAATATGCTAAAGATATGCTAAGGCCACTCAACTGCTCACTATGATGTGCACTGACCACCAGGGGGCAGACAGGCAACCTGTTGATCAGTCGCTACGATGTGCACTGACAACCAGGGGGCAGATTTTCTGACCTGTAGGTTAGCTTGCTGCTGGGGTCCGGCTGATCGAAACTGAGCGAGATGGGTTGGACATGCCCTGGAACCCTCCTGCAGTCCCTCCCCAGCTGGCTAACCTCCTGCTTCTCTCCCTGGCCCTGATCATGCACTGGTGGGGTCCCTCAGCCTGGCCTGCACCCTCTTGTAATCTGCAACCCCTCAGGGGATGTTGAAGAGCCAATTTCAGCCTGATCCCACAGGCCAGGCTGAGGGACCCCACTGGTGCACCAGGCCTCTAGTGTTATATAAAACACACTAGAGGCCTGTTGCACGAAGAGATTCGTGCAATAAGCCTTCCCTTCCCTTGGCTGCTGGCACCAGTTTTCCTCTGGCACCCGGGACCCTGGCCTTCGCTCTGGCTGGGCTCCAGCCAGAGGCCCCCCCTCCCCAGCCGTCAGGCTTCGCTGCTCTGCTGATCCCGGGGCCATGAGGCCTCGTGGCTCTGCTGATCCTGGGGCCCTGAGGCCTCACGGCTCCACTGATCCTGGGCTGTGAGGCCTCGTGGCTCCTCTGATCCCGGGCCATGAGGCCTCCTGGCTCCGCCGATCCCGGGGGCGTGAGGCCTTGCTGCTCGGCCGGCTTCGGGTACTTTTGGTGATCATTTTTTGCAATATATACAAACTAGAGGCCCGATTCACAAAATTTGTGCAAGAGGAGGCCGCCCTTCCCCCGGCTGCTGGCGCCGGCTTCCCTCTGGCCGCTGGGACCCAGGCTTCCCTTTCAGCCCCAGCTTCATCTGGAAGGTCGTCTGAAAGGACCTCTGGTCTAATTAGCATATTGCACTTTTATTATTATAGATATCAAATCATTATGCTGTATACCTGACATTAATATATGTCAATTATATCTCGATTTAAAAATAAATAATTTAATCTCTTTCTCATCCCTTATAACACTCTCACTAATTAGCCATCAGCTTGTTTTAATTTTACCTGATAAACAATGAATACTAATTGAACAGTTTTTATCTCCTAAAAATCATTTTGGTTAACTAATATAGTCCTTTCAGTAGTAACCCTGTTTGAGATGGGATAAATAAGAGTAGGTACAAAGAAACTTACTTTTTATGGTCACACATGTAAGCAGAAATTGTTTTTCAAGAGTCCGCTTTCCTGAGTGTGTTACTATGTATTCCTATCTGCATTATTTTTCTAGTTCATAAGCTACTTCAGTAGTACATGCTTTTCCCACATGTTTCCTGGAGTGATGCAGTAGCCTACAGTCTAACATTTGTCCACTCTAGGTACACATCTGTCCATCCTATCCAATAAAAGACAAAAAGGGTAATTGAATGTACCTTCGCTACACTTCCCATTGGCTAATCAGGGTGATATGCAAATTAACCGCCAACAAAGATGGGAGGGCAGTTAAGGGCGACCAGGTTAGCAGGGGATTGCAGTTGGGGGTGACTGGGCCAGCAGGGGAGGGCAGTTGGGGGCAACCGGGCCAGCACTGGAGGGCAGTTGGGGGTGATTGTGTCAGCAGGGGAGAATTTAGGCATAGATCAGGCTGATAGGGGAGTGGTTAGGGGATGATCATGCTGGCAGGGGAAAGCAGTTAGGGGCAATCAGGCAGGCAGGCAGGCGAATGGTTAGAAGTCAGTAGTCCCGGATTGTGAGTGGGTTGTCCAACTGCCGATTTAGGCCCGATCTCATGGGCTTAAACTGGCAGCCGGACATCCCCTGAGGGTCCCAGATTGGAGAGGGTGCAGGCTGGGGCTGAGGGACAGCGCCTCCCCCTCCCCCCGCCCAGTGCATGAATTTCATGCACCGGGCCTCTAGTCCTATCTAATAAAAGAGAAACATGGTAATTAGCCGTATGGCCGCTACCCTTCCCATTGGCTAATCAGTGAGATATGCAAATTAACTGCCAACCAAGATGGCAGCCGGCAGCCAGGCAGCTGACGCGAACAGGGAAGCTTGCTTGCTCCAGTGACGGAGGAAGCCAGGTTCCCCGCCTGCCTTGCCGGCCTCTCAGCTGCTCTCTAAGAAACATTGTAACAAATATAGAAGCTAAACCAAACCTCAGAAACCTGCTTTAGCCAGCCAGGCTTCAGCCAGCAGGACCGCAACATTGTTTCAAATACAGAAGGTAAACAAAGGCCAGATACCTGCTTTCAGCAGTGGAGGTCTCATAGCTGGAGTCGAGCCTCAGAGCTAAAGCTGGCCCAGAATAAAAAATGCAGTATTATGGATTTCATCTCTCTGTGCGGACACGTTCAATCCTATTTTAAATGCAGGAAAATTAACTCAACAGTTTATCAAGATTCATATTTAAAAGTGGAGGCCAAGTGGATAAATTTCATCAAAGCAAACCAATCTAAGTTGAGAGTTGAAAAATACAGTGGTTTGATGGGTTGTCTCAAATCTAGATCTGAAAAGGACAATGTGCCGATTGGTAAAATGATAATACTTCCATCATCTTTTGAGGGTAGTCCCAGAAATATGCAGCAGCGATATCAGGATGCTATGGCAATTGTAACGAGGTATGGCAAGCCCGATTTATTCATAACCATGACATGCAACCCCAAATGGGCAGATATTGCAAACAATTTACAACGCTGGCAGAAAGTTGAAAACAGACCTGACATGGTAGCCAGAGTTTTTAATATTAAGCTGAATGCTCTTTTAAATGATATTTGTAAATTCCATTTATTTGGCAAAGTAATAGCTAAAATTCATGTCATTGAATTTCAGAAATGCGGACTGCCTCATGCTCACATATTATTGATATTAGATTGTGAGTCCAAATTACGTTCCTATAATTAATTCCCTTTCAATGTGCACGAATTTTGTGCACCGGGCTACTAGTTGTTTTATAATTACCTACAGTATTTAGTCAGAAACATGCTGTATAGGCTTGTAGCCTAGGAACAATAGGCTATACTGTATAACCTAGGGTTGTACTAGGCTACACCATCTATGTTTGTTTAAATGTACCCTATGATGTTTGCATAACAACAAAATTGCCTACAATGCATTTTTCAGAATGTATACCCATCCTTAAGTGGTACACGACTGTACTGTCTTCCAAAAGTGCTATACCAATATACATTCCCACCAACAGTGCACAAGGGTTTCCTTTTCTCCATATTCTCGTCAACACTTATCTATTTTATAACAGGTGTGAGGTGATATCTCATGTGGTTTTAATTTGCATTTCCCTGATGATTAGTGATGTTGAGCACCTTTTCATGTAATAGTTGGCCATTTGTATATCTTCTTTAAAAACTTCTGCCCATTTTTTACCACATATTTTTGCTAATGAGTTGTATAAGTGTTTATATGTTTTGCATATTAAGAACTTATCAAACCTATGATTGGCAAATATTTTCTCCCATTCAGTAGGTTGCCTTTTCATTTGTTGATGGTTTCCTTTGTTGTGCTGATGCTTCTTTAGTTTTATGTGGTCCCACTGTTTATATTTGCTTTTATTGCCTTTGCTTTTGGTTTCAAATCCCATAAAAGTCATCATTAAAACCAATGTCAAGAAGCTTACTGCCTATGTTTTCTTCAAGGGATTTTATGGTTTCAGGTCTTATAATTAGGTCTTTAATCCATTTTGAGTAAATTTTTGTGTCTGGTGTAAGATTGTGTTCAGTTTTATTCTTTTGCATATGGTTGTCCATTTTTCCCAACACCATTTATTAAAGAACTTCCTTTCACCATTATATATTCTTAGCCCCTTTTTTATAAATGAATTGACCATATAAGCATGAGTTTATTGGTAAGGAGTGTCTTAGTGTTAGTTCTAGTTGTTGCATCACCTTCTCTAGATATGTTAAATAGTTGCCCCCAGATTAAAAGAATGGATTTTCTCTTGGAAATGTATTCAGAGTCCTATTTATCCTGTCATTCAGAGAGAATAAACATAGCTATTAAGAGGGTTATAAACTATCCTATGATAATAGCAGTAAATAGTCAACATCATGGTGCTAAAAGTGAAAACTAGAGGATGTCGAAATTGTCATTATATGAGCCAATGAAGCTGTTAATATTTCAAAAACTCTTTAATCTCCTCATGCATGCAGTAAACTAACAGTGACATGGAGTCTGTGCACTGTCTCAGTTCATAAAATAGAGGAAGGTAAGTGGAGAGTTCTTTGCTCACTAGATATGTCCCCATTTTTATCTCATTATCTAAACTTTTATCAATTGCTTCTTCTCAACCTTGAAGTAATAGCTATCATGATTACACTGCTCCTATTCATCCTGGTGAGATTATCCCCAGATAAACCTTCCCCATGTTGGCAGTCTCAGTATCACAGGTTCCATTGTATTGTGCTGGTAAGTTAATGCTGGTAATAAAACCACTCTGTCTCACTATTCTTCAAGTCTTCACAGGAGACTAATACTCCTTAACAATTTGTTCATGGGAATGTAATGAAGATTTCTAAAAATGTTCCTAACACTCTGATTTTGATAATATCATGTTTCTAATCAAATTATGCTTTTCTGACTTAGCATGACTATTTAAGTTTGTTTTACTAAAACACATTCTTATTGATGCCCAGGGACATTGAACACTCATACTCCTAATACCAGGTAAGAAGCAATAGTACTGACATCGCAGAGTAATTTATTTTTGTGCAAGTCTTTGTACATGTGATAAATGTGAATGATAAATAGAACCCATGTGTAAAAATAACATCTCCAATTTGTAATTTGAATTTACTTTTGCTTTAGCTTGACTGCTCTAATCAAAGTCATTGCAAAGAATCCATATGCACTCAGGTCTCAGGCTGTCACACTTGAGTAAATAAACAAAACAATTCTGTAAGATTAGTTTTCTGCAGTGTCATGCAATTAGAACCTCAAAGTGAGTCCTTAATCTTTGCTAATTGCTAGGAATTGGATATTATAATGTCAAATTACTTCTTTCATTTCAAGTCACGGTTATTTGGCTCAGACTCCTGGATATCATTTTAGTAATAGCAGTTAACTTTTGTTGATCTCATCCTATGCCACAGACATTGTGATAAGTGCTTCATGTGTATTATATCTCTTTATCCTTGCAATAAATCTGTGAAGAAAAAAACTACTATTACAGATAAAAATGTTGAGGCTTAGAAATATCAAACATGTTAAAATAAAATTATATAGCTACCAGTTTGAGAAAATAGTTTTCAAACTGAAGTTTTTCTGACACCAAAGCTCCTAGAAAATTTTTTCTCTTCTTTTAAAATTTCAGGTGCAAATCTAGCAATTATTTAGAATATTTTTGGTTTAAACTTTCTTGGGTGCTTTCTTCTTCCTTTCAGTGCATTTAGCCTTTGAAATCTGCAGTTCTAGTTCTCATCTACTTTAGTTTTCTGATTGGCATTTAATTGGGCCATGTTATCACTAGGGAACTTGCTAGTCCCTTAAGCACAAGTCTCTGATTCTGTTGCCTGGAGAAATTTGCCTGAGAATAGCTTTTGAGTCTTAAGAAAGCTTCTCTTTAAAATGAAGAAATACCTGCTGCAGGTTTCAATATATTTGTTTAAAGTTGAACCAGGTAAATTTTGTTTCTATGTTTGTATTAACAACAAAAAAGCCACAAAAATTAGGGAAACATTCAAGGAAGAATAATGTGGCATTTTAATGACAGTAAAAAATATTTATAATCCATAAACATTACCTATTGCTACCAACAGTTTTATACTTTGGCCACTATAAAAACAAACAGGTTTTTATTCGTATGAGTAACCTTTATATGTTAAAATTTTATAAATACCTAATGTAGTATTATAAATAATTAAATGAATGATTTCTGAGAACGCCATCTATAATAACAATAAATTATCTTGCAAATATATTAATTTAAATAGAAAAAAACAGATCTTCAAAAAAGAAAAAATTATGATCATAACATTTAGATTTTTGCATGAACTAAGTAGTCACAGACCACAGGTAATTAACATAAAATAAAGTGATAGAAATTAAACAGATTTGAGTTTGTATATTTCCAAAGTGTTTTATTTACAGTAGAGTGAACATTTTATTTATTTATTTAAAAATGTATTGATTTTTTTTTAGAGAGAGAGAGAAAAGGAGAGAGAGAGAGAGAACACCAATGTAAGACAGAAGCATCAATCTTTAGCCTCCAGGATGCGTCCAGATAGGGAATCAAACCTGCCACCTTTTAGTGTACAGGACGATGCTCCAACCAACTGAACCACCTGGCCAGGGCTACACTGAACATATTAAAGGAGAAAAATGTATTAAAGTCTTTTCCCTAATGAATAATATATTTTGGCTTGGATCTTTCTCTTTCTCCCGGCCCCCCTTTCCTCTAGTCTTTCCATTGTGCTCCTCCTTCCTTCCTTCTTTCCTTTCTTCCTCTATTTTTAAATTTAACTTAATCTTGATTTTTTAGAACTTTTCAAATAACTGTTGGTAGCATTACCTTTTCCACAATGATGCATGAGCTGGATAGCTGCCACAAGCATGACATCCAAGACGGAATTTGTTCTGGGTCATGCACAATTCCCAGAGAGCTGTCACTCTCTTGTTTTTCTCCCACTTAAGGAAAGACAATGGAGGTTATAATTTTTGTGGGTATAATCTGGAATTTCATATTATGAACCTAAAAATAAAAGGTCAAAGTAACCAAAATAAAAGGGTGGACTAATAATCAAATTAGCACGAGACAAATTAAGAGTAGAAAATGACCAAAATTATTATGTACGTACATACAGGGGTTCTATAGAATATGAGACCCTGGACAGATCAGGCAGTTGGGCACACAAGCCATGTTGAGCTAAGGTGAAAAGGGTGGCGTGGTTTGGGACTTCAGAGAGTAGGAGGCAATTCACATGGAGATAGAAAAGCAAATTTTCAGTAAATAAATGTTTGCTTGGCCATCTTGAACAGTAAGACACAGAGCAGACTTTGATGAAAGGTGCCTTGCTAGGTTCCTCCCTGTCTACCAAACACTGGTCATAGTAAACTAGTTATTGGTGATGATGTCTACGTGCTTCGAACAGGTCCTCTATCTAATTCTTTTAGGCACTTGGGAAGAAAGCCAAAGTTCTTTCTTCAGTTTTTCATTTCTTGAAAATATCCAGCTTAAAATTATTAATATCCCAAAAGGCATATTTTAGGGTGGCAAACTCTGCTTCCCCTTGGCACCAAAGCTTGGGCACCCCCGTGAGAGGAATGAAAGGTGTGAGATCTGGTTAAATTGGTCATTTGTAATGTAAAATTCTCTTCCTACAATATCCTATATAGCTAACATTTATGGCACACAGATGCTGTTCTGAATAATTTGCATGCATTATTTCATTCAGTCTTCACAACTATAGGAAAATAGGCATCATCATTCTCTCCCATTTTGTAAAGAGAAAGCTGAGTAACTTGCCTGAGGTTATAATCAAGAAAGTGGTGAAGCATTTGATGGCAGACCTGAGCTAAAATGAATGCTCTAGAAAGATTCTCAGTTTATATATATAAATTTATATATATGTAAAGTTAAGCATTCAAAAGAGTTAACTAAATGTCCATCAAGGCCAAATAAAATTGAATTCCTGATGTGAGGCTAAAACTTTAAAGTCACTAAGGAGTTGAAACTCATATTCCTAAAACAGTATGAAGGCTGGTTTCCAGGCTTTTGTGGCCTCTGAGGCCACCTCCAAATCTGAGAGGCAATGAGAAATAAATGAGAAACAAATCAGCAGGAGGAAATCCTAGCCATCCTGGGCACTGCTTTGGAAGCACAGAGGAAGAGACCTTGAAGTCAGGGCATGTCTTTGGGTGGAAAGTATGTAAGAAAGAACTTCCAAACAAAAATGTTGTTTTAAGGATTCTCAATTCAAACTAATAGCATTATAGGCAGTTTAAGAAATTTTACTCTAAGGTAATTTTATACAGATGAACTAAATGTTCTTCAGTAAGTGTTATATTCCAAATATGATTAAATATGAGTTTTATTTCTATTTTATTCCCTTTAAAGTAAACAGATAGAAATTAAAATGAAAACTTGATTTAAAGGACAACATTCTAATTGGTGCAAATTTTCTATGGCTAATCTGTTTTGTATGTAAAAATACCTTATAATAAAGACATAAATTTGAAGGTATATCTGTCTTGACCAAGTGGCTTTAGCAATAAGAAGTGCTACTTTTCATTTAACCTAATCTTGGAAAGATATATTAAATTGTCGACACATTTTATTAATAATAGTTATTATCACGAAGTATACAGATACTAGGCTTATAACCTGCTTGCCTTTTTTTTCTTTAAAATAGGACCATAATTTGTTTTTGTTGTTGAAATAATCATATTAATGCATATAAGATTTTTAATTACATTGTTTTCCTTTTCATCTGTAGATCAAGTGACCTATGAATGAATGTAGCTGTTACATAAAATATTATTTTATTTGGAAAAAAAACTTACATAAATATACTCTCAAAATTTATTTTCATCTGAAAAGAACTACAGTAGATTGGTTTCCATAATGGCTATCACCATGCCTAAGAAGTTTGTCTTTCTGCTGGTTTTTAATTTGACTCTGACTGAAATTATTTTAAGTGGAAATGTGTTAATTTGGCCAACAGATGGTAGCCATTGGTTAAATATTAAGATCATTCTAGAAGAGTTAACTCAAAGAAATCACAATGTGACTGTACTGGCTTCATCAGCAACTTTATTCATCAACTCCAATCCTGATTCTCCTGTGAATTTTGAGGTGATACCTGTTTCCTTCACAAAGAGTAATATAGATTCCTTAATTGAACATATGGTTATGCTGTGGACAGATCATAGACCAACTCCTCTCACACTCTGGACTTTCTACAAAGAACTAGGAAAACTCCTAGATACTTTTTTTCAAATTAACATACAAATCTGTGATGGAGTATTAAATAACCCCAAGTTAATGTCAAGACTTCAGAAAGGTAGTTTTGATGTGCTAGTAGCCGACCCAGTAACAATCTGTGGGGACCTTGTTGCTCTGAAATTAGGAATTCCATTTATGTACACATTGAGGTTCTCTCCAGCCTCAACAGTAGAGAGACACTGTGGGAAAATCCCCGCACCTGCCTCCTATGTACCCGCAGCCTTGTCAGAGCTCACTGACCAGATGACCTTTGGTGAAAGGGTTAAAAATGCCATATCTTATCCTCTGCAAGACTATATATTTCAGTCCTACTGGGGAGAATGGAATGTGTACTACAGCAAAGTTCTAGGTAAGTCTCTACAATGTCCACTTATTAATGACTCTTAATACCTTATTTATTCTTTTTGTAAATACAGTAAAAGGTATTCATCCCACTGCATATGCCAAACTGAAGTAAATATAATTATTATATCTTCATACAAATCACTGGTCATTATTTTTGGATATATTCCTTAACAATGAAATGGTGGTATTAATAAGTATGCTATTAATGCAAATAATATTGTGAAAAGAAACACCTTTTCAATGTGTAAATCAATCTTCAAATATCAATGGAAGTACCTTTACTAGGATAAATTATGACACTGCCAGAAAATGCTTTGGCAAACATTTTGAAGTGATACATGATTTACTTTCCCTTCTTGGTTCTTCATTCTTTTCTTTACAGAAAACTTTTAAAACTTGGGTTGAACATGGGAAACCTGAGTTTATACCCTTCTCTGCCTCTCACTATTTCTCCATCCTTAGAGTCCTCTGAGTGTTTGGGATAGCGATGTCTTTGACTTAATTTTTCAGTATACTTTGGCAAGTCTCAGCTTTCCTTGGTTTGCAGATTCCTTATGAGGATCAAGCAACATAATGCAAACTGTCAAGGCCAGTTCTGACTGCCTATTTACTTCTCTTTCTGTTCTTTATCAGCCTTTTTTCCTTTATTTTTCTAATTTCTTCTTCCCTGAATTTTCCCCCCTCTAGATCTAGCAATAGTATTCAAGGTATTAATTAACAGCAGGAATTAATAGTTGATTCCATCAATGGTACTTTCTTACAAAGGCCATATTCAAAAGATGGTTATGTTACACAACTTTTGGCCTTCCTCTCTTCCTTGATTAGCAAGAAGAATGCCCCAGTTGTTGTAATTAGTAATTCTTTCCTTATGCTTGTCCATACTCTTTCCCTCTCTCCCTCCCTCCTTCTTTCCTTCCTTCCTTCCTTCCTTCCTTCCTTCCTTCCATCTTTTCTTCCTTTCCAGCTTGCTTTCTTTATGTAAAAAAGTATTTATTGAACAACAACACAGTTTCTAAAATTTTTCTGTGTACTAGGAATATAAGAGTTAGCAAACAAATCAAAATCTCTATCCCCATAAGCTTATATTCTAGTAAGAGAAGACAAATGATAAACAAAATAAATAGGCAAAATATATAGAATATTAAAGTATAATATATGCTCTATGGTAGACTTAAAAAAACTGGATTGTTCTGGGAGTAGGATTCCACTTTTAAATAGGATGGTAAGGAAAGGTCTCTAGTGAAAGGGTGACCTTTGAATAAAGGCCCAAGGGCAGTGAGGGTGACAGCCAAGAGGCTCCCTGGAGGAAAAGCTCTCAGGCATAGATAAGAACAAGTACAAAGACCTGTGTAAGCCATACAGGCAGTAATATTTTTACTGTAATTTAACATTAATCGTATCCTTCACAAGTAGGATTTGCATATGTGTATTTTTTCGTTCCTTGATGTTAGAATATTCTTCATCCAATTTTCCAACACTTAAACTTTTGAAATTCTTTACAGAATTGGTCTAGACTCTAGAGGGAGAATATTGAACATGTCATACATATAAATAAGACATATGCAAGTTAACTAAAATTTTCATATACTTTTGAAGATATGGTAATTAGAATTTTGAAAGTAAAATTTTGTTTTAATATTTTTTACAATTCAACTTAACTATATTTTATTTATTTCTTAATTCCAAATTTCATATGCCTCAAAAATGTATTTTTCTGTAAATTTAGATGTTAGTCACATGATTATTTTCTAAGACATCCAAAATGTGTTCAATAATAATTATCACTACCCATATATGTATCACATACTGACTATTGTAGGTACTGAATAAGCTAATGGTCTAGATACCTTAAATAATGGGATTACAAACAGTAAGTTTGTGAAGAGTCTTGAAAAGCACATAAGATTCTTAGTTCAAGTTGAACCTGCTAACTGTGTGATCTCAGGCAAGGCCAGGACAAATTATATAATGTGTGAGAAAGCATGTTCCCAACTTCTCATTTTCACAGGATAATCTATTTCAGAAATCCCACAGGTTGAGAAATTCAGTGTATTATTTACTTAAATCCTTCATGCTCCTCATGTTACTAAAACTATTTGAATTGTATTGTCAGGAAGAACTGGCATAATCCAATTTGTATTTTGTTTTCAATTATATTTTTAAAGTATTAATGACACCTGGTAACTGTAAACTGATCATAAAATGGAGGGTGGTTACCTGATATTTAATATTATCTTTGAATACAGGAGATTTAATAACATGTAAAATTTCCATGCAATTTTCATTTCAATAGTTGTGCTTCAGTTCTGTGGGGAAAATAAACCAGAAAACCAGTATGATTAACAGTAGTAAAGAAAAAAAAACCAAATATCTATATTGAAGGAAAGAAAAGGAAATAATAAGGAAATATATAACTGCACTAGTTAAAAAATCCTGTTTTATTTATCAAGGACGAGGTCCTAAATCTTATTGATGAAGCAAATAAAAATGATCATCAACTCAATTTTAAATATGTTTCTAACACTTAATGGAACAGGCATGTTTACAAAATATGACATCACTGCTATTCATTTACAGGAATGAATCTATTGATAAATCTCAACCAGGTGCAGTGTTCCATGTGGCACTTTCAGATTGCACTGATCTCTCCCCTGACCCTTGAATTGAGAGATATCCACACAACATAAAGATAATTCTTATGTGCTTAGGATTTGGGACTAGCCTTTGCTGTACCTATAGTAAGGCAAGGGCTTGAACACTGTAGTGAAAATAGCTAAATAGTAAGGCAACTTGGATGGCTCCACTTTGCCTGTGTCTTGGCTTCCCAGTCTTCTCACTTCCCAAGTTCACTGCAGATCAGGAGAGCAGAAAGCCCAGTACTAACTTATGCACTACTTGGCCAGTGTAGCCTACTTTTACCTGTCAGTACCATGTTGGCTCTATGCTGGCCTCTCTTTCCATCTATGTTAGATAAGTTTCCTAGAAGTAATGCTACCTATTCCAGCCCATGGAAACAAAAAAACCTCTAAACGTTTTCCCCCAAACCCACTTGCCTGGAACTGGGCTAGATTACTCCCAACATTATTTACGTATATGCGATCTCTCGCTCCCTTTTGGAGCCCAGTATTTTGTTTGTTGGTTTTTAACATGTCCCACTCCCATTCTAAGCCCCATTCCCGACCTCCCATCCTTTTTTTTCTGGAAAACTTGGATCTCTCTGTTCATCTTCTGTCACATGAGTCTTCTAATTCTTTCTCATGTACAGCTTTGCTGTGATCAGTGCTGTGAGGTGTTCTTAAATTTTCTGTAAATTTTCTTTTGAAGTAAAACATAAATTGAACATTTACAACTCATTGAAGTTTCACAATGTGAACCCACCCATGCAACCAGCACCCAAATTCAGAAACAAAATATTGTTACAACCCATAACTCCTCTTCATTGTTCATACCAGCCCCTACAACCCCCATCCCCATCTAGGTTTGAACACTTTCTTGACTTCTAACACCATGGAGTAATTTTGCCTGATTTTAAATTTTGTATTAATGAACCACACATTATGTACTCCCATTCTAAGTCCCATGATGCTTCTTTTATTTAACATCATGTTTACTATATTTGTCTAATTGTAGCAAATATAATAATATATTTGTTTATTATATTTGTTGCATGTAATTATAATTTGTTAATTCTCACAGTTATATAGATTCTATTGAATTAATACACCACATTTTACTTATACATTCTACTGTTGATGCACATGTAGACTATCTGGTGTTAGCTATTTATGATAAATAATGCTATAAACATTCTTGTACATGTTTTTTATAAATATACATGTGCCATACTGCTGGGTTTATTTATAAGAGTGAAATTGCTAGGCCATAGCATATGCCAATGTTTAGCTTTAGTAGGTACTGCTAAAATCTAGTTTCACAAGTGCTTGTATCAATTAATAACCCTACCAGTGATCCACTGGAATTCTACTTTTTCTCCATTCTTACCAACATTTAGATTTTTTTCTTTTTTTTAAAATGTAACCATGCTGTTGATGTATAGTGTCATCCCATTTTTTTTTATTATTAAGGGATAATTGATCTATGGCTAAAAAAATTACATAAAGTTTACAGTGTGGATTATTTTGACAAAGGTATATACCTCTGTGACTATCAGTCTCTTGGTTCCTTCTCTAATGAAGGCTACTCTCCAGACTTTTTCAGATACTGAGTAACTCCTGAAAACTAATATCTTAGTTTTCATTCTTATTCACTTCTGTTTTTATTTTTTGGCTTTTTAATGCATCCTTTAATCATTTTAATTGTAAAAGTTACATAATTACATTGTCATTCATGTTCAGTTTGTGATCCATCAAGAATCTCTTATATTGCACTAATTATTCAGTGATTTTGCAGGTAATTAATGCCTTTGCTAACTGTACCATCTTTATTGTTAACAATAAATAGATACTCTTACTAAACACCTGCTTGCTACCAAGCACTTTGATAGTTACATTGCAGATGTTGCTAATCCACAACAAAACATCTAAGAATGATCATTATATGCCTTTTAGACACAATGCATTAGAAACTCAGAAAGATTAGTAGCTGTCCTCACGAAATATGTCATTGAACAAGATAAGAACCTAGAAATAGTTAATCTTCTACATAAAGAAACGTATGGTTCCCAGGAGTAAGCCGCTCGAGAATCTCCAGGATTTTAATTTTAGAAGTCATGCATAAGGAAGAGAAAGAAGCAAGGCCGCCCACCCTTGTGCGTGGTGATCTGGTGTGTCTTGTGAGAATTCTCTCATCCAACTTTCCTTAGGACACTGCTGTGAAATCCTTGTGACACAGTTTGTTTTGCAAGTTTAAAATCTTTTTAAATATTTTGGTACGAACTGTCTGAGTTTTCATAGAGGAGTGCATGGTTGGTCCTGGGTATAGAACTTTGCTCTGCCTTATACAAGGTTGCATCCTCAGGAAAAGCATGAAAGGCCCACACCCAAGTGCTTTTGGCCTCTCCTGCCTGTTTACATTGCCACAGCAATTTAGAAATACAGCAGGTTCTTGAGTAATGTTTCATTCAATTTTGTTTTGTCATAATCGATGAGAGAAAAAAAATTATACATTCTCAGCAGGGGTCGCTGTTTGCACCAAAGATGTGCACATTAGGTGAATTAATTGTCCCAGTCGAAATGAGGTGTGTGAGTGTGTGTGTGTGTGTGTGTGTGTGTGTGTGTGTGCATCCTCTGATAGAGTGGCCTCCTTTGTCCAGAGTGGGTGGGTTCCTGCCCTGTTCCCTGAGCTGCTGGGGTGAGCCCCAGCCACCATGACCCTGAGCTGGAATAAGTAGGTTGAAAATAATTAACTTACTTGCTTTTATTAATCATTCTTAAATATGCATATAGCTCATATTTAACTCAATATGTAATATTAGAAGCATTTTGGGTCTTCATTTGTAAGTTTTTGATGTTTCTGTGATCAGAAATATGCATAGAACTACTGTTTATGTCAATTAGCCTATGGTAAAATTGGTTTAATTATACATCATTGCAATTAAACTTACAGTTTCCAAAAACCTACTGATGATGTTAAGTGAGGACTCATTTAACTGTATATATTTTGGATATTAATCCTTTGTCAAAACTGTTGTTTGCAAATATCATCTCCTATTTTTCAGTTACCTTTTTGTTTTGTTGTCAGTTTCTTTTGCTCTGCAGAAGCTTTTAAGTTTGATATAATCCCATTTATTCATTTTTGCCTTTACTTCTCTTTGGGGTCAAATTCATAAAATGTTCTCTATGACCAAGGTCCATAAGTTTAGTACTATGTTTTTTTTCTATGCACTTTATTATTTCAGATCTTATATGTACATCTTTGATTCGTTCTGAATTAATTTTTGTACATGGGTACAAACTGTAATCATTTCATTCTTTTGCATTTGGCTTTCCAATTGTCCCAGCACCATTTATTGAAGAGGCTTTCTTTTCTCCATTGTGTGTTCTTGGCTCCTCTGTCAAAAGTTATTTGCCCATATACCTGTGATTTTATTTCTGGGCTCTCAGTTTTATTCTATTGATCTGTGTGTCTGTTTTTCTGCCAATAACATGTTGTTTTATTATTATAGCTTTGTAGTATATTTTGAAGCCAGGTAGTATGATACCTCCAGCTTTATTCTTTTTTTTCAGGATTTCTATTTTGGCTATTTAGGGTCTTTTGTGGTTGCATACAAATCTGATGACGTTTTGTTCTATTTTTTTTAAAAAATGACACTGGAATTTTAATGGAGATTTCATTAAATCTGTATATTGCTTTGACTAATATGGCCATTTTAAGTATGAATATGAAATATCTTTCTTTTTTGTTGTGTCTTTTTCAACCTCTTTTAATAATGCTTCATAGTCTTCAGTATATTGCAGGTCTTTCATATCCTTTGTTAAGTTTATTCCTAGGTATTTTACTCTTTTGGTTGCAATTGCAAAAGAAGTTGCTGTTTTTTCATTTATTTTTTCTGAAGTTTAGTTGTTAGTATATAGGAAAGCAGTGGATTTTTGTATATTGATTTTGTATCCTGCAACTTTATTGTATTTGTTTATTGTTTCTAATAGATTTTTGGTGTTTAGGGTATTCTATATATAGAATCATGTCATCTGCAAAAGGTGACACTTTTACTTCTCAATTTGGATAACTTTTATTTATTTATTTTGTCTGAGTGCTCTGGCTAGAACTTCCAGACTATCCTATGTAATAAAAGGGTAATATGCAAATTGACCCTAACAGCGGAACAACCAGAATGACCACATGACCAGTCACTATGAGGCACACTGACCACCTTTCGGTGCCTTTCCCCTGTCGGCAGGCTCCCATCACGCAATGGCAATGGGCAATCGTGGGTGGATGGTGGGGGATGGGGCCAGTTCCAGGCCAAGGCCCCTCCCCCACTGGTCATCCTACACACAAAGGGCGACCCACGGCGGGGTTGGGGCCGGCGAGCGGGCGGAAACAGCCAAACACTTGGTCCCTCCCCTGGTCAGCAGGCTCTGTTCACCTGATGGTGAACAGAAACCAGGGGTAGGTAGCAGCAGGGAGTGACGCCAGCTACTGGCAGCTGGGGAAGATGGCCTTGATCGCAGGCCAGGCCTAGGGACCATACCCACTCACGAATTTCATGCACCAGGCCTCTAGAGTGGTGAGGCTAGTTTTGTGACCCAGTATATGGTCTATCCTTGAGAATGTTCCACGTACCCTGGAGAAGAATGTGTAATCTGATGTTCTGAGAATGTATAATCTTATTCTCGCTGCTTTGTGAACCTTTTGTTTTGTGATTTAACTTAACTGGCATAAGT